CTGCCCAATAACGCTGCTTTAAAGGCAAGTGACCCATCATGGCAAAATAAATGCACGCCAAAAAGAGCAGCAGTGGTTTGGTATTGCTGGCAGGGGAACAAAGGAATCCCTAGCTCAATTCATGTTACATTTTGTAGCACAACCTAGAAAGAAATACTGGATATACTACTGTTCTTTCCCCTTCTTTTTACCCTACCAAGGATGAACATTTGGAACTCAAATGCAGTGCTACCCTTGTGATGATGGTGGGGGTAATAGTGTGGGGAGAGTTATCTACATAAGCAAACCTGCCATTTCATTTCTCTCCTCGCAGGGAGGGTTGTAGCTCAGCAGACGCAGAAGATCCAGGATCAATCCCTGGCATCTCCAGGTACAACTGGAAACAGGACAGAAGCTGGTGCCAGTTAGGACAGACTATGCAGAGCTAGATGGGCCACTGATCTGATTTGGTGTAGAGCCCTGACTTCTCTCTTGGGCAGGCAAATCAGTTGCTCCTTACAGGCAAGCATTGCGAGCCATTCCAGCTTGTCCAATGGCAGGGCATGTGACCTTGAAGCTCCAGAAAAAGGGAACTTGTTCTTTCCTGAAATTAATCAGAAACTATTTGCATTCTACAATAACGCTACTAGACTGTCAGAGAGATATTGATCTATTGCGAGATTTGCTGTAGACCTGATTGCTTTGCTAATACAGGCAAGCAGTGGCTCATTTCTAACTGTCTTTGTCAGTGAGGGTTGTTTTTGTTTAATTAAAAAACCCCCACTTTAATCAAATGCAATGCATTTGAACTCAAATGTTTCCGGGCCTCTTCCCTTTGGTTACTGTTTCAATGTCAGTTAATGTTAATGCTCTTAATCTCAATTATAATGATTCAAATCTTCCTTTTTTCAGTTTGTGGGGATTAAATGAGAAGTGGGAAGAACCTTGAGCTCCTTGGAGTAAAATGTGGGATATAATTGCAATAAATGCAACAAGGAATAAATGAAATAAAGTAAAGAATAGGACCAAGGAATCCAGAAAATGGTTCAAAAACCATTTAATTAATTAATTAAGAAAAAACCTGGTTTTCAGTGATGCTCTTTGAGCAAAAGGGATTTTGCGTTGGAGGGTGGGCAGGAGGGTTTTTCAGATTTTCTACCTTCAGATAACATGCTCAATATTAACCAGACTTCTATGGAACAATTTAACAGAGAATTTTGGGCCATATTCTAGGGAACACTACTATCCCTGGTGCTGGGTCTATTGGACAACCATGGGAATGAATAGGGTGTACTATTCTAGTAGGGTATCCTATTAAAGCTACCAAGATTATTTCCTTGCATCTACATATTGCAGGCAGGCACCAGGGAAGTTTATTTGCTATTACTGAGTTTCTCTGGAAAAAAGATAGATAAACTCTAGGAACCTATGTTTGAAAACTACTCTAGAGTTGCAACATGGCAGGGACCATAAACTAATTTGGCCATAAGCCTTAGAGCAAGATGGGAAGCCTTGCTTTGTGTTCCATGTCTGAATGAGAACAGAGGTCCATTCCCTATGAAAACATATTATGACCATTGTAGAGCATCCGAGTGGGTAAAGACCAGCACTTCTGGCATTGCATATGAAGTGGAGGCATGTTCTGAAAGCAGGTAAGGCAACTGAATCTGTCAGACACCTGTTGAGGGTTCTCAAGTAGCCCAGGTAGTATTAAAATCTGCAATGAATGAATGAATGAATGAATGAGCCTTCTGTCTTTCCCATAATCACTTCATCAACCAGTACCCCATTACTTCTTTTACTCCATAAAACTTGCATGCAATAGTCCTACTTGCACCCTGCTTGGAACTCAAGACTTTGAACCACATTGATGGCCTAAATGGTCCTGCTGAGTTATCACCACTGCATTGACTTCCCAAGGATGAGTAGCAAGAAGATCTTTGTTCTATCATAAATGTGTGGGTCCTGTCATATTGTATGAGCCAACGTTTAGAATTTGCTGCTTATGTCAAATCAGAGCACTCAAGAGTTTTGCCACTTGATACACTATGTACTTGGGATCTGATTCCTCTATATAAAATTTATGTGCAATGGCATCATTTATTAACTGTGTCTATATGTATAAATTGTGGATGCCACCTGCAAACGATATGTGACTTTTTCAGGATTAGTTAGCATGCGAAAGCCAAGATTTGTGTACCTAGGCACCCTTCATAAATGACACTATGTGCATTTATTTTGTATTTGGGAATCAGATTCTGAGTACAAAATGTATCCACTCAATTCAGATCTCATTATCTACTATCAAATTCCATGTTGGATAAGCTAGTTCAAAATGTAAGGAAAATAATAGGATAATCTGGGACGTGGTAAGGTAAGAAAGCAGCAAAAGGGCTGCACAGAAATAAAGCCCAATATGACTTCTCACCAGTACTGCAAAATATTTTTGTTTTGGGGCATTCTTAGGGCACAGAACCTGGTTGAAGACTTGCCCATATAACTGTGACCCTCAATAAGAACTTTATTTCTTTTGAACTCCTTGTTAGCCACCCCTCACTGGAAATATCTCGTGATATAACTGCACTTTTTTAAAACAATGGAAAACCCCTCAGATTGGTTCCTCATTTGAGGAACCCCTAGCCTATGACATCTCTACTCCACACTAGCAGAAAGAGAGTCAAGAAATGTCCCTAGCAGTTGGGGACCAGAAACTAGACAAGGGCATTTTTTCTATGAAATGTCAAAGCAAGCTCCCTGGGACACAGGTTAAATGAGACCCTCTAGAACAGAGGTGCCCAAACTTTATTCAAAGAGGGCCTGATCTGATGTAGTGAACATGCATGAGGGATGACCAAAGTTGTTGAGGTTTTTTTAGGATTGAATTGAAGTTACTGAGGCTTTTTTACGGTTTTACCCCAGGACATATACTGCCATGGGGGCTGGATTAAATCGACCGGCAGGAGGATGGATTAGGCTCCCAAGGCAGACTTTGGTGAGAGATTGTGAGAAAAAATGCATTTTCCAAAGAACGGGACATACAACAGCCCACTGTGTGAAATCCTGCAAAATGAAGGGTTAGGAAAGCGGTGAAATTTGATTTTGTTTCACATTTCTCAAGCCAATATGCAAACTGAAACACAGCTATTCTTTGACATTTTTGTGATGCCGTTCTCAGACCCAGACTTTGTGCACACAAATACATATACAAAAACACATTATATCAGGGAAAATTGCTTGCAGAAATATGCTTATCAGCAGAAATGCTGATGAAATTTAATTATTTTTTTAATAATAAAAAAATCTCAAATTGCTGCAGAAATGTGGAGAACTGAAGATTCAGTATCTGAAATGAGACACTGAAACAAAAATTGAGTGATTTTTCCATCTCTAGCAATGTGTTTAAGTAAGAGAGAGAGATTTGAGCTTGCCCCATGTATAGCATCTCACTCTAGTTCCAGAAATCAGCATCCCTGTGGTTTTCTAGTCATTGCTTTGGCTGCAACATCAAATTTTTGGAGAGACTTCTGTGTTCCGCTCTTGCTTCTTTCAGTATGTGATTTTCACAACAAGAAATGGAATGAGATCAGGGGAATGGAAGGGACAGAGGAGATGGCCGGTTGATGTCAAAGTAAGTATACAGAACTAGGGCTTTGACGTTAGCACACAAGCAATAGCTGCTAGATGCTTCCTAGAAGATTGAATTTAATTCTTTCTTTGGGATTCATTTGGCACTCCTTTCTCTCTGCTTCAGTACATGGATTGGCTTATATGATGGACATTTCTATCAATGGCACTCAGATAACCCCATGAGAAAGGGAGATGGGTGGGGAAGGAACTTCAAGATCAGTTTTCCTTGACTCAGCAGTTTTAATCCTGGAATTATGTCAACTAGAGCATAATTATTGTATTTTATATTGAGAGATTGTAGTATTAAACATCCACCCACCACCACCACCAACTGGCCTGGTGGATAGTCCTGTGGCTGAGATTTCTGGACTGCATATGCAGAGCCCATGTGCCTACAAGTTGTATTTTCTGTTGAGGTTCAGCTGTGGCATGTTGTTTGGAGCATGGCCAGTGGATGTGAAAAATCTCTGCACCTTCACACCTACAGCGTATGTGCGATTGTTGTGGAAAAAGGGACTCGACCATCCTGAAATGCTGTTTTTACATAAACAAGTCAAATAAGAATAAAGGAATCACAGCTGAAATTTGTTTAGGGGTTGTTACGGCTGAAAAATAAATCAATTATACTAGGAAAGAGTTTAGTCTATATCTCATTGCTAATAGCATTGCAGGTTCTGAATGAAGAGAGGGAACCTACAGCCTTCCGGATGTTTGTTTGTTCAATCAAAAGCATGGATAAACTGATTAATCGTTTGTAAATCTTTGAGCAGTGCACAATATATATTAAATATAATTTTTTAAAAAACACAATGTAAAACCAATAAACATAAGTGAAACAAATAAAAGCAGGAATTTGGGGAATTCAAATAAAGGGAAACAGGGTCTGTTTTTAAGGGTCAGGTTAAGCCTGTTGCTGGACACGAACAGCACCAGCCCATGTGGCCAGTGATCAGTGATGATGGGAGTTCTTGTCCAGCAATCTCTGGAGCATCAGAGGTTCCCTACCATCTTCTAGACCCAGACTTATGGAGAGTTCTTGCACACCCACCCACCCCTTTTCTGGTTCAGAAAAAGGAATAATTCAAGTTGGCTAATATTGCAAGTTAAAAATATAATAATAAAGTAAGAAAAGAAACCAAAGCAAGAAGCCGATATAGTAGCAGATTAAGAAACTTTTAAAAAAGGGTACCAAGAATGATCAAACAATGGTCAAGGAAAAGCCTTCTGAAATGGAAGGCAGTGGAATTGCCACAATTGAGGCATTGCTCATCCACACATCCTCGGTGCTTGAATGATTCTGGCAGTGAAAGAGTTAAGTCTCACAGCTATTCTCTTCATGGGATAGAGCGGCCTCTCTCCTCCAGAACTGGCCATCTGGTTTTAATAAAGTGCAGCAAATGAGGCTGTGCTCCCTCCCCCATTTTTTACGGAGAAACTGTCAAAACATTCCAATGGTGTGAGCTCGACTGCAGCGCACAGACTGCGGGCAAAGCGCAGGACACCAGGTACTGCAACCATGGCTCCCCAACATGCCTTGCTTCTGCTGGTTATCGTGGCCAATGGCATTGATGGGCAACAACATCAGTTAATGGAGTACATGGAGAGGAGGCTCGCTGTCTTAGAGGTGAGAGCATGGGAGCAGAATGGTTTCCTCCTCTGGGCCTGGTGTGCGCACAGGGCAGTGTGTTCCAGATTGGATTTAAGGGTGCTGGCTCTGCAGTTACTTGAATATCTAACTTTGACAGAAGAACAGCAATCACCTAACTTGGGGCAGGGGCAGGGAGGCTCCTTTAGAGCTGCAGAGGTTTGAAAATTATTATTATTGAGGAACTATAACGGTCTGTTGTCCGTTATGTGTTGACCATTAAGGAAGGTTATTGCCTGTAGGTGCAGGTGGTCTGATCTTTGAGAGTCTGGTGTAGTAGATCTGGAACTCTTGGGCTGCCCTGTGTGGAAATGCAAGACATTCTGAAAACGTTTTGCCAGCCTTTAAAGCCTTGCTCCATAATGTCGCAGCTCCTTAGAACATAATTGGATCGTTTGTTTCAAAACTCAGTGGTTCTACAGCACTCTGTATGCTTATCAGCTAACTTCATCTGATAATCCTGCAGCAGCTATCCAGAGCATCGGTAGCTGGATGCAGAGCGCTCACTGACTGGGAGGATACGGTAATAAAAGTGTCAAGACAAAGGCTTTTTAAATCTAAAATAAAGGCATGGCGTTTTCTTATCGCTAGGAACAAGCATGTGTTTGCAGAAAGTCTTGATAGTGTAACTGCAGAGTGCATAGGGATGGCTAAGAATCCAAAAGGCAGATGAGAACATCTCAAAATGAACAGGCATTTTAGCACGCCAGGACTTTAAAGCCAAGCTTACAATTTTGAGAACCTGATTCTTGATTTTAGATGTTCATGCAATCTGTCAAGACAAATGTAACCTGGACTCCACATGGCAACCAGGGTCCCAGGTTGGGTAGGTTAATTTTGTGTTTTTTAATACTGTCAACCACCCTGTTATCCTCGAATGAAGGACAGGATATAAATTTTAATAATAATAATAATTAATAATAATAATAATAGTTTAGCATGTCAAGGGGGCCTTCCTCAGGTGCCTTATCTTCTTTCCTCCTTCTTTTAGGAGCGGATCACGCAGTGGCATGATCAGAGCAGCCGTTACTCCACTGAGCTGAGGGATTTCAAGAACAAGGTTTTGTCCATGCTGGAGTCAGTGGAGAAAGACCGGGAGACACTTCGCTCAGAGGTGGAAAACACTGCAGTGCGAGTGGACCGGCTGGAGCGAGAGGTGGACTACCTTGAAACTCAAAATCCTGCCCCACCCTGTGTGGAGGTGGATGACAAACTAATGGAGAATCAAGTTGCCAATGCCAAGAAGCGCAAGAATGAGAAGTATGACAAAATGACAGGTGAGTGGACAACCTCACAGCATGCACTCATACTAATGGCCGTGCCAGATGATCCTGCAAGGCAGGCTTCAATGGTTGTTGTTGTTGTTGCTGTTGTTTGTTTTGCGTGATTCTTCTACAAGTCCCTCAGCATTGACCATCAGTGCTATATTTTGTCCCCATGGCACAAACATCCGTGATTAGTTGCAGAGGAGAGAGCTGTGTTTTGGGGAGAGGAATACAGCCAATATTGCTATGTGACTTTTAAAAAGGGACTAGATCACATGCAGTCTAGAGCTGGACACCTATTTCAACACACACACATCCTCCGCCCTCTGGATAGTAGCTTATTAAAAATGGCAGCATGAAATTTGCGAAGGCTGTTCACAGTTCTGTGAGAAGGAAGAAGGGGTCTCTCAGTTCGCAAAATGACTCTTCTGTTTAGCAAACCTTTCTTTATTGCATTTCTTTCCTTCCCTTTTTTGGGCAAAGGAGTCCCAAGGGCAGCAAAATGGGGAGGCATTGCTGCAGCAGGAGGGAGGGAGAGAAGTGGATATGCATTGTGAGGAACTGCAAAGCCTTTAAATATTTTTTTAAAAAAACAACAACAAATGAACATTTAATGCTCGCCAAATGATGTAGGGAGTAGGCTAGAGCACAGTAATTCATTATTAAACAGTGTCACAAGCACTGTCCAGGAATATCAATAGCAATGGCTGAGCAGTTGGGTTGGTTGGATGGAAAATATTATAGATTGAATGTTGGGACAATGTGTTATCCCTGACATAGAAAGGAAGATCTTTTGCAATATATGTGCAGCAGCTACTTCCCATAAAATAAGGGACTAGCTTACTTTAACAAGTAAGGTTGTGACATAGCAGGTTAGAATCCTGCACCCAGTTAGGCTGCTGAAGTCCCATTGGCTTCAATCAGATTTAAGCAGACTGTGAGCAAGATTGCAGCTGCGGTATCTAAAACACATCCTAGCCATTGCAAGTGAGCAATTCTCCCAGGCATAATGTTTTGTGAGTCATGTGATTCCTCCAATGCTTCTCACAAATCTGAATTCCCTGTGAAAGGCTTTTCCATTTGGGCTAGTGATCGGGAAAGCTGGGAGAGTATATTTCTTCCGCTGCTGGAACAGACTCCATTGTTGTGTGCCCTTGAGACAAATCACACCATATTCCAGAAAGTCAGTTTGCCACATTGCTAGCTCTTCATGTGTCTCCTCACATCTGACTGTTTTCATGCTGCAGTGCTTTGTTGTTTTTGGTCCTTTTGTTCCATTAAAGTCTGCTAAGATGCACTCACCACTGTACAGATAAATTTGACATGAATTAATTGTAAGTTTCTCATCCATGTCAGTTGCATATCTGTTCTATCCCCTTTCTGCATTAATCTAGGATTCCTCACATCATCTGCATGAAAACACTAGGGTCATAATTCTCATTTCTGGGGTCATAATTCTCACAAAATATAAATTTCTAAACAAATGTTCTTGGTTCAATTATGCATTGCTAGCAGTATTTATCTGCATCTGCAAAGCAAGCAAACAGAGCAAGATAGAGTGAGCCATCCTTGTTCCTCCAACATCTGGCAATGAGCAGTATGCAACCTCTGAATATGGATGCTGCTGCCATAGAAGATTGCCATTGATAGACCTATAATTCATCCATGCAGTGATGATCCCTTATCAGGAAAGGAGCAGCTGTGAAACTCTGCACAGCTATGTAATATACTCCCAACTTCCAAGCACCTTCTCCCTGCAGTTTAGCCCTTGAGGAGAACTGGTCAAGCAGGCTACTCAGTCCCAACCTTCAGTGTTTTAAGTGACGGCCAATGGAAACTGTATGCTCTGCTGCAGAATCGGCTATTGAAATAAGTGACTTGCAAGACAGATAGTAATGAAAGCTTTGCTGCTAGAGCTAAGCTGCACAATGTAGTAGAGAAGCCAAAGCCAGGAGAGAATCAATTCAGTTTGCCAGAAATAAATCAGGAACAGCTTGCTATATTAGTACTAAAAGGCCAAGTCTTGTTTAGGCTGCTTTTTAAGCAAGCAAGTCTAGCCTCAATTCAACAGTGATTTGAGACTTTGAGGGCAGTTCTCTTGGTCTGCCAAAGGGTGCATGTTTTTTGAGGGGGGAGGAATAGGAGGCAAGATCTATTGAGTTCCCTTTCATGAGGGAGGACGATGCAGAGAAAAGTGCAGAATTAGCAGGACTGGGAGAATATCTTCCACGTGTGATTAACTCTTTCTGTGAATATAATGCGAATACAAATGTCTCTACCACTTCAGGAGTTGCAATTTTCATAATGCAAGAGACACTTTGAAGACAGGTCTTTGGTCTTATCTAGTACTATTTGTCAACCCGATGTCTGCAGGAAGATCACAAAGAGGATGGGTGGTGGTATATATTTTATGTGTGTATGTTTGTATTTTATGCACGCACTGCTTTTTCAGGCACCAACCTTCTTCACAATACAACCGAATGAATGGAAATGCAATTTTAAACCAGTCCCAAGAGTCTCAGATTTAGCAAGGGGTGGGAACAGTAGGAATTAAGGCATCAGGTTCTGAATAAGACAGATATTCTGGAATTTGTGATTTGCTCAGATGTCTGTACACTGTTTTTAACGATTCCTTTGCAGTTTTGTGCTATAGATTTGAGAATGAGAGCAAAGCACACTGTAACTATCCTATGACTATTCTTTATAGATTGCAGTGACACAGTGTCTCAGGTGAAAGCCATGAAAATCCTAAAGCGGTTTGGCAGCACTGCTGGACTCTGGACCAAAGACCCAGTGGGGAATTCGGAGAAGATCTATGTGTTTGATGGCACTAGCAACGACACCGTGTATGTCTTCCCCAGAACGAGAGAGTTCACGCTCTTCTCTGCTACACGAAAGGCTGCACGCATCAAGCTACCCTATCCATGGGTCGGCACTGGACACTTGGTATACGGGGGCCATCTTTATTATATCCGAAGACACGGCACTTTCCAGGTCATCAAGTTTAGCTTGGCCAACAAGACTATTGTGGATAGTTCAGTTTTCCCTGCCGAGGAGCAGATCCCTGTTTTTGGTCTTTCATCCTATAACTACATTGATCTGGTGGCCGACGAGGAAGGGATCTGGGCTATTTATGCCACACAAGAGAATGAAAGAAACATTGAATTGGCCAAGCTAGACCCCGCCACCCTGGACATTGAGCAAATGTGGGACACACCATGTCCCCGGGAGAATGCAGAGAGCGCTTTTGTCATCTGTGGTGCGCTCTATGTGGTGTACAACACGCGACTGCCCAGCCGATCTCGTATCCAGTGTGTCTTTGATGTCAGTGGCTCAATGGCAAATGAAGATGCTCCCCTAGTCTACTTCCCCAAGCGATACGGCTCTCACTCCAGCATGAAGTATAACCCCAAAGAGAGGCAGATCTATGCTTGGGATGATGGCTATCAGCTTATTTACCGCATGGAGATGAAGAAGAAGACCGAAGTCTGAGAAAGGCCTAGAGCTCTGGTGGACAGCGCGTCAGAAACATGCTCCGTTGCCTCCCTGCAGATACGACTCAGCTGCCTACTCATGCACATAGCATGTTCAGCTCCTTAGAAAACCAGCAAGCATGAAGTAGACTGGACTTCCTGATACATGAAACATTTTTAATGCAGAAATTGCCTGCATTTGAGGAGGGGAGGACTCGCCATTTCTTTCTTTCCCCCCAGCTCACTTAAAATTGGATTATTATTATTTTTAGGTTGGGGGGGACCTTATGCTTGAAAACATAAAAAGTACTGGGGAATAGAGTTAATCAGCTCTATTTTTGAAGCAGGGGCACCCCCCCTCTACATTTCCATACTGCCTTAGAGATTAGAAATCAAATTGGCATCACCCCGGCAGCCCTGCTATTTCATAGATGCCTCCCTTTTCAGAATGACAGCCCAGAAGGATCTTAAACTGCCTGCCCAAATGAGGCAGTGAGCAGGCACTCATGATAATTCTAAGGCCAAGCACTGCAGTAATAATAATAATAATCCCATAGGGTTTGGTTAATTTAACAAGAATGTAAAACCTATTTTTCTTCTTGCTTTCCTTTGCCCTCCAGAAGCTTTAATTGGACAGTCCAGGTGGCAGTTTCCTGCTTGCTTGTTGTACCTTATTATTTCTGTTGTTCTATTTAAATCTCCTTTCTATAAACCAGAATATGTCTGTGTAATGGTTCTAGGGGTTGCTCGTGCGTAAGCAGGTGTCTATCTCCCCGGTTGGGTGCAAACACCTGGGTGGGTTGCCAAAGTGAACCTTTTCTGTCCGGACAGCCACTCACCCGTGGCTGACTCAATTGCTGGCAGAATCCGTCAGTGGGCGTTTCTTAAACTTCTTCCAGCAAAGAAGCTCTTTGACGCCTCGGCTCCTCCTACTCTCTCTGCGTGAAAGCCTTCTGCGCAAGGAGGGCGTGGGCAACGGAGGACCCCTACTCTCCCCGCTGGTCCCAGGGAAGGAGTCATGAGACCGCCTTGCCGCTTCCCCCATCTGCCCCCCTTCTCCACTGGTGCTACGCTGATTCTCTTCCCCAGAAGATGGGCTGCTTCTCCCGATCCCTGGACGCTCTCTGGAATCCCTCTGGCTTTTGCTCTCTCCCTCCGGCGCTGATGGCAGTTCCCTGACAGTCTGTATCGGTTTTAGTTTTGTTTTGTTCATATGCCGCTGAAAATACTAGAGGGAGCTGCTCTGGCCCAGCCTTCATATTGAGATCTCTCTCTGATTCGTGGCCCCCTTCTGAGGTGGTGGTTCTTGTTGTTTGCCTGAAAGTTAGTGCCTTGTTAAAGATTAGTCTAAACAGAAAGCAGCTCATGAAAGTTATTGAGACTGACTTGCCTGAAATCTCTCACAACGAAAACAAAGTCAGCTTTCTTCCAATTCCCAGCTTTCCTATCTAGCTGTTCTGTTCCCTCCAAAAGTCAATGAGAATTGATTGCATTCGGAGCCTTTGGTCATGTTTCAGGTTGTCCTCCTTTTCCATTTGTATTACAGTTTCTTACTAATTGCTGGATTTGTCTAATTCTGGCTCTGTTCTCATGCCATTGCCTCTGGGTTCTTTCTTTGTTAACTGAGCTGTGTACACACTCCCATTTACTTTTGCATCTACTGAGCTCCCACCATTTGTATGGGAAGCACTACATCTCCAACATTTGCCATAATCCACATCTATCCTATCATTTCTTCTGAAATACTGCATTCTGATGCATTTCCCCACAAACCAGCTCTGATAAGTATTGAGAAAATGTGTTTTAAGCCACATGTCCCTAATGCTAGTTATGTGGTTTCCATAGGTCCTTTAACAAGGAAACCTCTTAAAACTCTCTTGTAGGGTGTGATTAGGTGTGTGACGCGGCAGCTAAAAAAGCCAATGCAATTCTGGGCTGCATCAATAGGAGTATAGCATCTAGATCAAGGGAAGTAATAGTGCCACTGTATTCTGCTCTGGTCAGACCTCACCTGGAGTACTGTGTCCAGTTCTGGGCACCACAGTTCAAGAAGGACACTGACAAACTGGAACGTGTCCAGCGGAGGGCAACCAAAATGGTCAAAGGCCTGGAAACGATGCCTTATGAGGAACGGCTAAGGGAGCTGGGCATGTTTAGCCTGGAGAAGAGGAGGTTAAGGGGTGATATGATAGCCATGTTCAAATATATAAAACGCTGTCACATAGAGGAGGGAGAAAGGTTGTTTTCTGCTGCTCCAGAGAAGCGGACACAGAGCAATGGATCCAAACTACAAGAAAGAAGATTCCACCTAAACATTAGGAAGAACTTCCTGACAGTAAGAGCTGTTCGACAGTGGAATTTGCTGCCAAGGAGTGTGGTGGAGTCTCCTTCTTTGGAGGTCTTTAAGCAGAGGCTTGACAACCATATGTCAGGAGTGCTCTGATGGTGTTTCCTGCTTGGCAGGGGGTTGGACTCGATGGCCCTTGTGGTCTCTTCCAACTCTATGATTCTATGATTCTATTGCAGATATTAATATTGCACTGCCTGAAGCAGTTGGATGCATAAATGCTGACTCCTTTGGGAATAAAAATGGTCCAGGCCCATAAACATGATTCAAAGCTTTACTAATAAGAACTTCATAACAGGTACAAGAACAAATCAATGATACATCCAAATAGTTCCATAAGACATAGCATAGGCTCCACATCTTCTCTGAAATATTATATAACTTGAAACAGACCTAGCTTCCATGTTTTCTCTCTCTCTTCACGTACAGCCTACATTCTAGCCTGAGGCTGTTTCTCCTGGAGAGGCATTATTAGCACATCTTTCTCTCACTGTGCCTGGGAACAAAAGACAAAGGCAACTCCCTTCAAAATTTGCAATTGAATACCTTAATCATGTGACCTAAGGTTGAACACTCATGTGAAAGAGGAGAGAACATTGACCCAGCTAGAAACTCAGAAAGCTCTTTTGTAGCTTTAGTATACCACAATGGAATTTTCCAATGTTAAACCCTTCAGCATTACACATGCAGGCATTATCCATGTCAGTGTGCAATTCAAGAATTATACCTAACAATGATTGTGTCCTGTGCTATGGCCTAGGCCAGGCATGTCTAAAGTCCGGCCCGGGGGTCTAATCTGGCCTGCCGGTCGGTTTAATCCGGCCCCTGTGGTCAACATCGTTGGTTGGCCGTCATGCATGTTCACTTCATCAAATCTGGCCCTCTTTGAAAAAGGTTTGGACCCCCCTGACCTAGACATAGTGGGGGATGTGGTGGTGGTGGGGATGTAAGAGGGCGTTCCAGAATTCTCACCAGGCATGCTTCCACTTCACCTGGGGCGAATCCAGGTGGAAAGCAAGGTGTCTGGCCTCTAACCTGAATGGACCTCATGTGACCTCTGGATACTATTGGCTGTTGGTGGATGCTTAAATCTGTTGAGGCCTTATTGAGTGCTCCAGCTTGCCCATCCTGTGGACACTGACTATGGCTGTGTGCGCACCATACATTTAAACCAAATGACGCCTCCCCAAAGAATTCTGGAAATTGTAGTTAAACTTTTTCTTTCTTCCATGATCTTCAATGTAGCCATATCAGACTGCAAATTAGTAAAAGAAAACTACACAAAATCCTAAACTCGGATTGCCCTTGCCACATCTGGTTTGGTTCTTAAGTACAGTGTTCATACAATTGACCATTGGAAGGAGGAATTTTATGACACATCTGCATTTGAAGAAAATGTGTTAACATTTTCCTCACCATGTGGCCATTTGCTACAGACGGTCAACAATACCTATAGTCAAAAGCACACCATGGTATGTTGCATGGTAGGCAAATGATTGCTTGTAGCCACCAAGAATTACTTTTCTGCCTCGGCTTATTGACACATTGTTTGCATCAGGTCTTTCAGAATATACAGAAGTTTTCTTTCAACCTTATTCTTAGACTGTATTTCCCTTCCCTGCTGGGAGGAAGGGAAATAGCTGTAGGGCTCAGCCCCCTCTCTTCAGCAAGATTTGTTTTTTATTTTTTTTACAAACACTCGCTCACATCTGCCAAGTCCTGGCTTGAATCATTCCATTGTCTTAAAAATGCAACCACAAATGGGAGAGAATCTCCTGCCAGCTTGACTACTTCGGCTTGCCTAATAGATGGCTCATCCTCCCAGGAAGGCAAAACAGCCAAACTCTTAGGTTCCAAACTGTGGGTTGAGTAGGCCTTGCACCCATCAGGCTAAGAAGAGTTAGAAAAGCAGAGGTCAGTTTTGGAAAATCACTGCAAACCAAACCATAAAAGGATTAAATCATGTGTAGGAATTCCTGAACTGAATAGGATTTATACCATATTTTTTTTCTTAAAAATATTTCTAACCTGCTCGTCATCTGTACATATACCAGGATGAGGTACAGCATAAAAGCAAAACCGCAGACCCCAGAATGGAAAAATTGTGTATGATATGGACTGTGAGGGTCCTACCTTGCTGAAACTAAGCAGGCTGGAGTCTGGTCAGTACCTGGATGGGAGGGACATACAGTAGGAACAGAGTCAGACCATTGGTTTGTCTAATTCAGCATTGTTTACACTGATGTGTAGCGGCTCTCCAGATTTCCAGATGGGATATGTCTGAGCCCTACCTGGCAGTGGCGGAGTGTATGCCCGTGCTGCCTGGGGCAGATGTGTGGGGCACGACCCCAAGGGAAGCAGGGCCTGGAGGCTGCCCTCCCACACGCCACAGTTCAGGGTAGGAAAGGGGCAGTGGACCCGGCAACGGAGTTGCTCTGGCTGGGGCACAGCCGAGAAGAGCAGGTGGCAGCTTTGCCGCTCCCTCTCCCCCTGCTCTCCGCTGCTGGGCCAGGCCTCACCTGGCAGCGGAGGTGGAGCTGTTGAGACTGGGTGCACCTTGCCATGGCTGAGGTGGGATGCTTTCTGCTGCTGTGTCTTATGTGACCTGGCCTCGGAGTTACTGCAACCGGCCACAAGGTGCCTTGCAGCCAAGGAGGGTGGGTGGCAGCATTTCTGCCAACTCTCCTGCTCTCCGCCATGGTGTCACACTTGACCCGGTGACAGAGCTGCTGCGGCTGGGCACGCCTTGCCACGGCCAAGAAGGGTTGCTCTCCGCCACTGGGTCAGAAGTGGAGCTGTGCCATGCACAGCCACAGCCACAGCACAGCTCCTTCTGGCACAGAGCCAGGCTCCGATGAAGGAGCCTGCTGTGGGGGTGCCTGTTTGTGCCCCCTCTCAAAATTTCACCCGGGACCAAGGCACCCCCCCATGCTCTGTCTCTGCTACTTAGAGACATTGGGGATTGAACCAGGGACATTTTCCATGCAAAGCATATGTTCTACCAAAGAGGCACAGCCCTAGACTGCCTAGGAACCACATGCGCACTGCCTTGGGTTCCATGGTGGAAGAATGGAAGAAAATAAACAAACCACAAAAAAATACTCCAATAAAACAAAAAAGGCAAGTTAGCTAAAGAAAAGGTGATGGGTGGAGGGTGGAGATGGGCTAGCAAGGTAGAAGAACCGGTTGAACTTCAGAAAAAGCATTTTGCAGACTTTAGGCAGAAGTGCCAGTGGGATCTTTTCCACAGTTTCTTGGCTGGCTGCATCTTCAGTTTCTCCAAGTTTAAGGTCTGATTGCAAATACATAGGCAGGGAAGAAGAAGGAGAGAGATTTATGCAACAGCTTGGCTGGACAATTGCTTGCTTCAAGAAATTCCCAGCAAGTGTGGAGACATAGTGTGGATTACCACCTTGGTGTGCCCCAGGCCCCCTCCAGACTAATGTCTTATTGTGGATGTCTTTTGCAATATGTTATTAACACAAATAATAGTGCATTAGTGGTGGACTTATTTTGCTTTGCTTTGTTCATCGAGCAGCACATTATTGCTGTCTGGAGGGGTGATAACACAACAAAAGCAGGACAAAAATAAACCAGAACATTTGTGGTATATAAAGTCTTCAGGAAGTTATGGGATATGCACTGACTGGAAGTGAAGCAGTGTGACCGCCCAAATCTTTTTCAAGTGCATAAAGCATTGAAGGCAGGATGCATGTGGCTACCTCAATAGCATAAACAGCACAAAAGAATCAGAAATGTTCAGTAAAAAAGGATGACCAGGGTTTATGTGCATCCCAGACCCTGGGGCCTGGCGGGAGATTGTTGTGGGTTCGAAGCTTGGAGAGCAGGATGATAATGACCATTCCGTCTTTGGGATTCTAAGACCCATAAGTGGTCCAGGAACTTCATCTAGGGGAAAATAGGAGGGAAATGGCCACTTGTGCTTCCGGGTAAAAAGAAAACTCTCCCCCGCACCTTCCACTACCTGTTATATTTTCCAACCTGACAAAAGTTTCTATGCTAGAGTTGCCGTATTTCAAAAAGTGAAAATCTGGACACAAAAGTTGTTGAGATTTTTGCCCAAAGCTGTTGAGCTTTTCAAAAGGAAATTGGCCAAGATCCACACTGCAGCGTTTCCCGCCCAGACGCTTCTTTACGATGGCCGAATCCTGGCTAGGTCCGGATGTATGGCAACCTATGCCTTTGATGGGGCAGACATCTACACCATACATTTAGTGCACATTTAAAGCGCTCACCTTAAATAATCCTAGGAACTGACGTTTGTTAAATGCACAGGGAATTGTAGCTGGTAGGACTTTAAAGAGACAGGCATGGTTTCCAGGCTGCAATCTTACTTAGCTTTCTTTTCATAGGAACAAACACACTTCTCTGTTTCTCTTGGGGCTGTGTCCTTCGAGGCTAAAGTTTGCTCTTTGACAGCATTGTCAAGGGCTTTTGTCATGTTGTAAACAGATGCTGGCAAGTGGCCTGAAGCCAAATAATTTCTGCGCTTCCAGCCTTGAGGCACAGAGGGAAAGGAGAGCTACATCTACCACCTCCCTCCCCAACCTCGGAGCTTCTTAATTGCTGAGCTCAGCATTTTGTCGACCAGGGGAGAAAATGTTCAGATAAAAGCTGGTTTTGCTCCCAGTCAGGGATCCAGACTCATTGCTCTGCAGCTCAATCCAGCCTGCTTATTAGAACTGCTGCAAAGCTTTATTCCTTCAAATGAATTTTTTAGCAAGTTACCTTCTGCTTGGCCAGGAAAAGGCTGCTGTTTGTGGGGTTGTTCTCTTCAGTGATGAGCTGGTGGCTAATGCAGTGGTTCAAAATGTTTTTAATATGGATAGACAGAAAAAGAAAAAAGGCTGGTATTTCTTTTCGTCTGTCAGTTCACAGCAGAAGTCACCCGTTCATTAGCACTGTGTGCTACACTGCCACTTCTGAGTCGCTGGCACCCACACTCTAAGGTTCTTGTGACCCATTATGATGGAAATAATTGGTCTACTGCTGGCACCCTCCATGTAGTTGGAAATTGCTAATTGAGCTCCCTACATGCAGGAATACTGACACAAGCAACTAGGGCATGACTTTGCAATGCGGGGCAAGGGGAGATGGAATTAACGAGGAAAAAAGAAAATGGGACACGAAGCAGCATAGATTCACCATAATTCGGTTATGGCAGATTTTAATCAGATGGTCTGGAGAACCTCAGCTCCAGGGGTCAAATGTAGCCCTCAAAGCCTCTCTGTCTCGCCCTTGGGACTTTCTCCAAGCCACAGCCATCTTCGGCCATCCTTAGCACCTTCCTTGAATGTTTTTTGCCTGTCTGGAATGTGTCCTTGAACTGTGATAAAGCCTGTCGCAATGAAAAGTTTCCCCTTAAAGTTCAGAATTTAGCAAGCTGCCATAAGTGTAGCACATATTGACTGACTTCTTAAACATGTCTACAGTGACCTCTTGTGGCTGATGACTTTAGGAGTTTGATTACTTCTATCTTTTAATTCTTGGAGCAATGGCATTGTTGGAAGCATAAACCATCATTCAGGCATGGCTGGTAGTCTTAATGGCTTCAGTCCTGGATAGCCTAAGGGCTGCCTTCTTCTATGTGTTCCTTCTTGCATGCTCCAATCAGCATCCCTGACCTCGTTCCAGTTCTCTTCATCTCATCACACAACCAGGGTTAGGGTATTTTCTGAATTACTGCCCACCTGCAGATATCTTGCCAAGCAAGGTGCACCATGCTCAGTCACTTTATGGTTCTAGGCAGCTGGTGAAGAGGTGACTTTAAAAAAAAGTCTGTTTTTCTGTCTGGTGCTGAGCTGCATTAGAATTATTACTATGCTGTTTCTTCTTGTGGCTTTCATGGTTGGGATTAACATGGGGGCTGTTTTAATTTGAAATATTGTTTTGGGACTGTGACTTTTTCGCCGGCTTGTGTTCCTCGGAGAGTAGGGTATACATTTAAAAAATAAATATATAACCATATGTGACATGAACAACTTACAGTTCATTTATACTAATATTTCCCATAGCTTTGCTGGAAAATAACAGGAATCCCTGCGGCACCTTAAAAGACTAACATTAGCTTTGACATTAGCTTTTGTGAATGCAGTCTACTTCATCGGATGCTTGAAATGTAATCCTGAAGCATATATATATCATAGCAGTGGAGGAAATGTAAAGGAATGGCTTCAGAGGGAAAGGGTACATGGCCTCCCTTCTGGAAGTTGCCAAACAATGTCACTCTAGGAAGTACTAATAATACTGTGTGAACACAGGGCTCCTCCAGTTGACTTATTTATTCAGTGTTTATTTGCTGATTTGCTTGCACAAAGCTTATGTAGTGGTTAGACCATGCCTAGTCTTTGTTCACCAATCATTCCAATTGTTTTCTGGGTGGTTATTTGACAATGAGCATTTATCCCACATTCATTCTGGTTAGCTTGCATCCTGATTTGTTAACACATCTTCCCATTAATTGTTTGTTCATCTCATACTTTTCAGGGCATTTCCCCATCACTTTCCAAACATCAGCATGACTCACGCGCATGGCAGCCACGGAATTTTGAGGCGGCCTGGCCCCCTCCTTGATTTCAACAATTTTGGTGGTTCCCTAAAAAAAAATATCAACAACAACTTTGCTGGTGTCAGGAATTTTACTTTTTGAATGATGGCAACCCTAGCCAGTCTTGTGTACATCGGCTCAGGTCTGGCTCTGAAGGATCGCCTTGGGTTACTAGCATCCTGTTTTTGAAACATTTCCCTTGTAGTCTTCAAAACCATATAAATCATAAATGGCTGTCTGTGGGCATTGCTGCAGAAGTGTGAAATAGGGTGGGTGGGGATGGGACAGGGAAGAAAAGAGCTGTGCTGCCAGTGACTTCCAAAGAAATCTTTGCTTAGTAAATTGCTCACACTTTCATCCAGCAATCCTAGCTAAGCAATCAAAGGCATGAGTGGGTGAGGGAGGGTGGGTGTGATTGGGGAGGGAATTGCAACCTATTTAGATCTTTCTCATGAATATCTTAACACGCAGCAGGGGAACTAATCACGTGATATTAACATTTAAATTAACTGGACCTACAGAAGTCAGCAGCAGGAGGGAGCCATTTGCTCCTTAAACTAGGCACTCACACGCAGTCCCATCAAATACACATGCACTGGGCAATTTAAAATTTGCATGCTATTTTAAAGGAATAAAGTAAGCAATTATATGCACCTTTGCTCTCCCCCCCCCAACTCCTGCTCACTCTGGAAGAGCAGCAGACGGACAACACAGGAAGCAATGGTTTGAATGGCCTGGTTGCTGTCCCTCCCGCCTCCTGCTTCTCAGCATTTTCTGAAGCTCAACCAGATGAGCCCATGAGTAAGCAAAATGCACAAGACTTTATTGCTACAATAAAAGGCCAAGGGTTGTGCTTGCACCCTTTGCTACTGACTGATATGACAGAAACATGGGTGGTGGTTTCTTTCAGCATTTGGTAACTGTCATAGAAGCATGGTGGTGCACAAACAGGGCACAAAGGCATACTTCCATGTCATTCATGTTTACATCCAGGCAGGACTCCAGACCCCTCTGCATGTATGAAGGGCTTGACCAGGATAATCAGGGTGTTTCATCTCCTCTGTAGGCTTTATGATCTGCTGTTCCTTTAAACTGCAGTGGTGAACCCTCCTTTTTGGCCTAAGGGCCACATTCTGTTCTGGGCAACTTCCCAAGGGCCACAATCCAGGAGTGAGCAGAGCCAGATACAAGAGTGAGCAGATAATGAATGTAAAATTTTGTACAAGGGAGGAAGTGTGGGGTATAATGGGAAAATGAATGAATGAATGATACTGTTGCTGTTGAGTTCCTATGAATTACTTTAAGGCTACAAACAGAGCAGATCTCTTTCTCTCTTCACCTACCACATTGCCAGTCACAGGGAAGAGATGCAGTGGCTGTCCTGGACATGGAGGAAGTTTTCCCAGGTGGCAGCCCCACCTTAATCCGCTGAAAAGGTTGAGTGTGGCTGGTTACCAGGAATATCCTGTTCCATCCACCATCTTGGAATCTTGGTTTTACCAGAGGAAAGTCCAGTTCCATCTCAAGAGTGTTTTGAGTAATACCTCTCTCTCTCTCTCTCTCTCTCTCTCTCTCTCTGTGTGTGTGTGTATGCACACATCATACTTTCTCAGCATTTCCAGCCACTCATAATATCCCATAACAGTTGCAGTCTGACCCTGGGTTATGTTAGTTATATTTTGATTCATTTTTACATTTCTATCCCACCCTTACTCCATGGAGCTGCCCTCTCCCTTTTTTATTTTTACAACAATTCTATGAGACAGTGACTGGCCCAAGGCCCAAGACTTGAACCCTGGTCTCCCAGGTCTTAAGCCAATACTCTAACCACTACACCACATTGGCTCTTATGCTGGTGATGAGTGACAAACTGCAGTTGCTTACTTTGACTGTTCCTTTAGCTCAGGGAAACTGGTGGCTCTCTGGATGTTGTTGGACTCCATCTCCCATCAATCCCAACTAGCATGGTCAATGGTCATGGATGATAGGAGTTGCTGTCTAACCATTTTCTACAGGAACACAGGTTCCCCATCCTTGTGTTAGCTTCTTGTGTGAAGTGCAATGATTTTTTCTCCTGGCTCCTCCCTTTCTTTTAGAGAAACCACTTAGCACAGGGAGATCATCTTTCTCTGACAGGAATCACAGAATTGTAGTGTTGGAAGGAACCCCAAGGGTCATCTAGTCCAACCCCCTGCAATGCAGGCATCCTGTCCACAGTCATCCTTGGGTGGGTTCGAACCAGCAACCTTCTGGTTAACAGCCGGAAGCACTAACCGATTGCACCACAGGACATGGGCTTTCTTATTTCTAAGATTATTGTTTTTTTCTTCTGCTCTGTCTCTCAGACAAATTCCTTCTAATAATATTTTTCATCTGGCAAACAGCAATTTTCTATAATTTCCCCTTAACACAATTTCTGCCATATTCCACATATTATTCAGAAAGTGTAATCTAACACTGCTCTGTTGGCATGGCAACAGGGCAGGTAGAGCACCTTGAGACACATGGGGAATATTGCTTTCCATCCCTTCACCTTTTGTATATTTTAACAAACTGGATATGAAGCTGCATTCCTGACTCTCACCGATGGGCCAAAGAGGGGAAGGTTATTTGTTTACCTTGCAGATACTTCAAAGTATCATCCATGCCAAGCAGAGCGCCATGCTTATTCCTCTGGCATTTTCATTGCGCACAGTAGTTGGGCTGATTTGTTAAATGCTTTGACTGAAAACCTTTTGAGCAATCAATCCCATCCACCCCTTATAAATCAAGCACCAGGTGAACTAAATGTTTGAAACTTTATTTTTTAACTTTTATTTGATTATTTGTTCAATTTCATTAGCCAACATTTCATTAACTACCCGTTTCAAACATGACCACAGATTTTCATTTACCAGCCATCAAATCACTGAAAGTATTCCATACAGTCTGTTCCAAATTTGCATCACTTTTCGCATCTTTTATTTATTTATTTCATCAATTTTTTATACACTGCTTGATTGTAGAAAACCTCAAAGCGATTGAGAAATGTAAACAATAGAATCAAGAAAAAAATCACAACCATAACTTTAAAACATACAAAAGTTAAAATACTAAAGCAGATTAAAATTGCCTCAAGCATCTGGGTAGGCTTGTCTAAACAAGAATGTTTTTAGCAGGCACCAAAGAGAATACAGTGATGGACTCAACAGGCATTTTGTGTGTGTGTGTGTGTGTGTGTGTGTGTGTGTGTGTGTCAGTGTCACTATCACAAAATCAATACAGGGTTGAATCTATCAAGCCTTTTATGTATGCACCCCTTTTAGAGCTACTGATCATAATATAGCAGAAATGAGTTTTAAGAAGTGGGACTTGCAACAAAATGTTGCAGTGGAGTGCTCCTGTTCAGGGTTCCAACCATTAATCCAGCCAATGCTAGAATATTCCATTCCATTTCCCCTCCCCCTCCCTATCCTCTTTCATTTTCCATCCTCCCTCTCGCAAAAGTCAGTCTGCCTTCCCTGGTCACTGAGTACTTCAGTAATGCTTGAGATACCTTTGTGGCTTGTATCCCTCCCCACATATTTAGTGTTTCCTAGGGCTGTCATGTGTCCGGGACGTCCGGGACATATCTGGGATTTGTTCATCAGACATAGCGTCCGAGCGGAATTTCCAAAAATTGCTAAAAATGTCTGGGAAAGCCCAGGCGTGTGGCAGTATTGAATTTTTCTTTGAGATTTTCCTTAAAAAATAGCTCAAAAACTATGGCAACTCTAGCGTTTCCCCATAAATATAAGTTGTACTTTTGCAAAGCAAAAGGCAGCAAATGTATCTTGCATCACTTCCAAAAACATATTGAGGCCTGGACATTGACAAATGTGCTGGAAATGAAAGTTCCACAAGGACACCTCTATAATAACTTGCCTTTGGCCTGTGGCAATCTAGCAGGTGAAGTGTTTGCGTTAAAACAGTGGACTGATCTCTGTAAATTCTCCTTTAGTCCTTGGGATCACCAGGTAGAGAGGATAAAACCAAATTTAGAGAATATAATCCCTGGTCAAACAATGGATGCAAAAGAATAAATAAAGTCAAGGCACTAAATAAACTTCATGTATTTCTGTAGCATAGTTGTGAAAATGTTTACTTTACAAAGAAGAAGTTGAGGGCAAGTGGTCAATAGAACATATAAAAATGACCAAACAATCTTATGTGAATTCCTAACACTGAAATGCAGACACTTGTATATGTCACATCAACGCTGCCTGGCCTGTTAGGATGAATGGGGTGCTGCCCCCAAACCCTCAGTTTGCTCTCAACCAGCCCTCACCTGCCTGGCTGCCTCCTTGCTTACTTACTTACTTACTTACTTACTTACAACCAGCACTTTTTCAGCTGGAACTTTCCAGAATGGTGTTCTGGCACCTCTCCAGTGGCCCCCGGAAGTGTGACAAGAGATCTGATCAGCTTCCGCAAAGCCCCTCTGCACCTCCGACTCATGAGGAGACCCACCCCGGACATCTTCTATGGAGAGGGTCTCCTCATGATCTGGAGGTGCAGACGGGCTTTGCTGAGGCTCTTCAACCTCCCAGCTAACAGCTCAGAAGCAATCACACCGTGTTCAGTGGGGCTTACTCCTTTGTACGTTTGGGGTTGAAGCATTAATGTCCTTTGTTTTGAGAACTATACAGATGATGGCTATCTCAGAGTTGGTTTCTGGGTGACATAAGTCCCCTTAGACTGCAGATAAAGCAGAGCTTGCTCCCAGTGCCACCCAAATTGTTTTTGTTGTAATAATAATAATAATAATAATAATAATAATAATAATAATAATAAATAAATAAAATGTATTTATACCCCACCTTTTTCTCTGACAGGGACTCAAGGTGGCTTTCAGATAAAAGAAGAACAATTATAGTGAGGACCACCAGGATGAGGGTGGGAGGGGAATCGATCAAATTACAAGGGTGAATATTTCTGTGCTAGACTTTATTCTGATCTGAGAAAAAATGAGCATTAATGAAGCATTTGGCATAGCTCGTGTGTCTGATTTCCCCATTAACCTATGCGTATTTTATAACATCACAGATCTTGCGTGCTTTTAGTACAAGCAGAATATCAAAGGTGACTTATAAACAAGGTACTCGATTGCTAGCTTCTTCACGCATGTGGGCGTAGATGGATGTGCTTTGCTATGGGATAATGTTCATCATTAGCACTGCTTACACAGAGGGTGGGAAGATTACACAGCAGGAGGGAGAAACACTCATTGACAGAAATGGTAGGAGAAACCTGCATGACACAAGGGTTTGGGAGATATTCCTTGATTTTTATGCCAAAATGGCCCTTCTTCAGGCTCATTTTTCTTAAACTATTTACTTTTTTTCTTTTTGGTCTTCACAGACTGACACATCTCAGCGCTACCAAGATGTTAGTTCCAATGAACATTAATATCTCCCCAAGTTGCAGAGTTGAACAGTACTGAAGTTGTCCTATGTGGCTCGTGGTGCATTAGGATCTGTTTATTACTGAAGAAGGCTTTTACCTGTAGCAGCAGCAGCAAACACACCTATTGCCCTGGAAGAGACACTGTGATGCCACTCTATTTCCTTGTATTATATAGCAACGCTAAAGCCACATTAATTTATTTTCCAGTTTTTCTGACCAAAAGAAAGCAGTGACCAACATATTAAAACAATAAAATATACAACATTACAAACTCCCCTGGGAGGTTGTGGATTCTCCTTCATTGGAGGTTTTTAAGGAGAGGCTGGATGGCCACCTGTCATGTATGATCTAGTTGAGATTCCTGCATTGTACTAGACTAGATTCCACCAGGGGTCCCTTCCAACTCTACAATTCTATGATTCTAAGTCATCCCAACTTCCCCCTCCTTCACCAGAAAGTTCAGTGAAGTTCTTCCTCCACCCTGGCCTCTTTGCTGGCAACTTCATTTTGCCCCAAACCCTTCCTGAAGGAGAGGGACCTTTTGAAAGGTTCAGCACAGCACTAATTCTGTCTAGAGAAAAAGAAAGCCAGTCTGAGAAACTTGAAACCTGGCTGGTTTATAATCTAGCTGCCTTCCTTTGTGTCTTTGAAACAGGTTTGGCAGAAACATGTTTTGAGTACTGTTTTCTAATGGAAAACATGCCTTTCAAGTTCTAATAGATGGAATCTAATCAAATTGTTCACAAAAACCTTTAGGTATAGGTTTCTGGAGACATTAACCAGTACAAATCAGCTATATAAAAGACATTAGGAGAGGGATGTCATTTCCATTGGACAAGGCTTCCTACAGTGTCTACTGTTGTTATGGGAGTAGTGTGATTTCTGCCTATCACACTCCATATAATTTTGATAAGTCATATTCTCGTTGCTTCATTTTATTTCAGGTGACTTGTGTTTTTTTTTTGGCACAGAATACTGAATCCATCCGTTTTACCTCATGGGAGCAAAATCTATTCTCCTAATTATTTGCAACTATCCACTTTTCTTTTTTTAAAAAAGGACCCTTCTTTTAGCACTTATTGATCCTCGAAAAGGGACCTGCAAATTAACTCGACAACGCAACAAGCCTTCTCATAGTTGGATAATTTCTCCACTTGACTCATGGTGTGTGTGCTGAACTCTTAACCCCAGCCAAATGACCATCTTTCAGAAAGGAGTTTACTGAAATCTTTGTACAATCAAGTAAACAAGTATGTTTTAATTATATAAAAAAGGACAAAGCAAATAGTGGCAAACTCTTAACATGGCAGTGGAATTCAGTGAAAGGACCAAGGCAGTACTGGATTAAATGCAGTCAGTTCAATATATTTTGTGGCCTGTGAAAGAACAGCAAATGCTATTCCCACACCCAAGTCAAAGTATAGTGCCCAAGGCTGGCTTAGTTATTTTGGTACCTTAGGCAGAGAATCCCACACGTGCCTTTCTCTGGCAGTAAAAAGACAATAGTAATAAATTCTATAATTACCAGTTTGATGTCTTTTCATTAAAAAAACAACCCAATTTATTAAAATTTCAAAATAATATACATACATTGTAATAAAAATCTAATAAGAGGAGGATGGCCAGTATCCAGCCATGCTATGTTGTTGTCAGGGTCTGTTTCCTCCTTTATATTCCTGCTTATCCATATGGCCCTCTTGGATCTGAACTTTCCTGTCCAACAGGTATCACTCTTCTCTGAATGCTTAGTTGCGTGGTTTCTTTTTAACCTTTTACCTGTTTCGCTGTGTTTTTAGATTTTTAGTGTTGCTTTTAATTGTTTTAATGTACAGGCAACCCCCCCCCCCACTCTTATGTACATTCTATGC